CCCTTTCACATAAAAAAAACAAATGAGCACTGTTTTGATCTTTGATTTTACTTAACGAAGTGGTTCTCAACCTTCCTAATGCTGCGACCCTTCAATGTAGTTCCTCATATTGTGGTGAACTCCCCCACCATAAAATTATTTTCATTGTTACTTCATAACTGTAATTTTACTACTGTTAGGAATCAGACGACCCCTGTGAAAGGGTGGTTTCACCCCCAAAGGGGTCGCAACCCACAGGTTGAGAACTGCTGACTTAAGCACTTTTGGCGTTAAGTTTTTGACAATGGCGTCTTCCACTGGCTTGACTGATGTTTGCTTTTGGGATCGTAAGAATAGCACCATAATGAGTGTTCTTTCAAAGTACTGCATGTTTCCACTCTATTGCTCTTTTTCCTGGTCAGTCAGAACTAGAGGCAGCGACCCTTCTCATTCCCAAATCTTCCATCAAAATTTGCTAAACCAAGCTTCAACATAGTCCAGATAACTTCCCCATCTCTTCAATAGTCTGTCGTCAGTCTTTAAGTACAAGTGCATGAATTTTGTCGACATTTTCATCCATCCAGGAAGTTGACAGACGTCCAGAATGAGGTTTGTCATCAATCGATATTTCACCTTTTTTTGAAATGAGAAAACCACTCATACAATTGAGGTTTTTCCCATAGTGCTGTCCTTGTAAGCTGTTTTCAACATCACAACAGTTTTTTGTGACAATTTTCCCCAAGTAGGAAACAAAATGTCACAGCTGCATACTGTTCTCTTAAATCGATCATCATAAAAAACAAGGTTCAAGTGAAATTGCTTTTATGAAAAAATTCACTATGATCAAAGAGAGTCTTCCCAGGTGACACCACTGGGTACACTAACTCAGAAGTAGTTCCTGAATGCTCACCTAGTGGGAAAAATGGGTACTACAAAAGCTCCCCCAGCAGAGCTTTTTTCTAGTTTTTTGGGGGGTACCCCCTCATATTTCTTAACTGTGGAAATTGGCCAAAATACTTGGAAAGGCAAGGATGGTGAGACTTGTGTTTTATTGACTATGCAAAAGCATTTGACTGTGTGGATCATAACAAACTACAGACAGGCTTATGTCGACTGGGAATTCCAGAACACTTCATTGTGCTCTCGCAGAACTTGTGCATGGATTAAGAGGCCATTGTGCAAGTAGAACAAGGAATACCACATGGTTTAAAATCAGGAAAGGTGTGTGTTAGGGCTGTATTCAGTGGGATCCAGCCAGTTCGCACTGGTTCAACAGAACCAATACCTAATTTTTTGTTGAGTTAAAAAAACTGGTTGTTAAAATGGCACTTGTAATCAGGGTTCTCTCTAAGGTGGGTGGCCAGCCAGCCACCCAATGTGGAATCACAAATTTACATCCTTACTCTTTTTTTTTAACATTAATCTGGCAACAGCATATTCTAAGCACCTGCAGTAATGTTCATTCTGTGCACAGGTATAAAAAATTAGAATTATGCTTGTAATATTATTCATTTCATAAAACTCATTGTGTTGTTGATGGAAACTACATTTTTGTTCCCTTATACTTGTTTCTTCAGTAAACACACCTATAATGCAAAGAAAAAAAGTGCCAAACAACCATAGGGTAACATGCTGTCATTTATTTCAGCTTTTTGTTACACCCCAAATTCCCACAAGATATTGCCAGTGAATTATGCAATTACTGAAAGTGTTCAAAGAGCTAAAAATATTGTCAGAACAATTGCTGTAAGTTCAGCAGAAGCAGAAAGGGGTATATTAAAAATGAACATAGTATGTTCAGGAAAGAGATGTCATCTAACGGTTACTAATATATCAAACACAATGACTATTGTGTAGTTGGCCTACTTCTAAAGGAATGGAATTCTACTCCTATAGTACAAAGATGGTTAAAGATAAATCACATAGCCAGTCATGCTCAAATAAAAGTGAAGAATATTGCAAATGAGGATGCCAATCAAGAAGCAATAAGGATATATCTTAAGTAACATTTTTATTGTTTTTTGTCAGGTACTATTTAGTATTTTTCATATTTTAAGACACTTATAAAATAATCAAGTTTTGTGTACCTCTTTTATTGTTCTTATTTTAAGTATTAACTGTATGAATATACCTTTTGGTACATTGTTTTTTAACTCTTAAAATGGTCATTAGGACAGTGAACTGGTTGTTAGATTTGAATCCCACCACTGGTTGTGTTCTCTCACCATACTTATTCAATCTGTATACTAAGGAAATAATCAGAGAAGCTGGATTATATGAAGAAGAATGTGACATCAGGAATGGAAGAAGGCTTATTAACAACTTACAATATGCAGATGACACAACCTTGTTTGATGAAAACAAGGACGATTTGAAATACTTGCTGATGAAGACCAAGGATTGCAGCCTTCAATATGGATTACAACTCAGTGTCAAGAAGCCCAAAATCCTTACAACTGGGCCAATAAGTAGCATCATGATAAACGGAGAAAAGGTTGAAGTTGTCAAGGCCTTTGTCTATCTTGGATCCACAATCAATGCTCATGGAAGCAGCAGTAAAGAGATCATATTAGAGAGAGAGAGAGAGAGAGAGATATCAAATGATGCATTTCCTTGGGTATATCTATTGCACAAGACCTCTGCAGAGTGTTGAAAAGCAGAGACTAAAGTGTGCCTGACCCAAGCCATGTACTTTCAATTGCCTCATATGAATGTGAAAATTGGACACTGAACGAAGAAATGGTACCCAGCTATCAAAAAGTATAGCGTCTGGGGTCTTAAAGGCTTGAAGGTAAACAAGCGGCCTTCAAGCTCAGAAACAACAAAGCCCACATGGAAGAAGCACACCAGCCTATGGGATCACGAGGTGTCGAAGGGATCAGG